AAAAAAGACTTTATTATATTTATGGAAAATCTACTTGTCGCTGTCGCTCTATCCATAAGCATTATACCTAAGTATGTATACAGTCTATCGTCGCTTTACTTATTAATAATGAAGCAAATAAACCAGTTTACTCAGCTAACCCTATCAATTGCTATATTAAAATGTAATCTGTATTCTAATTAGCTTATAAACTCGTATGGACTATCTCAAGATGACATAGTAGAGATGTCTAATTTATTGCGTACTCTTATATAGACCGTTAGGGCACTGCAACTGTTTTTAATGCATCTATTTACAAGGATAATAAGAAACGTTTTGTCTACAAAAAATATGAAATTAATAATCTAAATTGATATCGCGGCTTCACAAAAAACCGGCGTAAAACATACAGAGATTTGCCTTTGACCATGTGAGTGAGGTTACCGGAGGCGCAATCTTACTCTTTTCCCAATCCCTTAATCTTCAAATCCCCACTAACCCCCATGAGGCAGGCGTGTGTATGAATGAACAGAAAAGTATAGAGTTCAAAAATATCTAACGCAGGACTCCCAAAGTTTCGTTAGAAACTCAATCATCTTGAGGAAAATCTCCAACAGACAACAATGGCATGACTATTTAAAAGGTAAAAATTAAATCTGAACATGTGTACCTATCAAAAGCAAGTTTCTTTGTTTATCAATTCGATATACATCGTCCATCTAATAAATCTTCATCAAATTCTGTATTTATGCGTGTAATAATTCAATGTTATGAAGACAATACATGGACTGATTCAAGCAAGCAAAACCACGGGTAAACCTTAGTCAATATATAGTTCGCACGTTATGCTGCATCAGAAATTATGACCGATCGGTTTATGATCGGAGCACATTGGAGTAATGACCGCGATCACTTTTACTAGTTGTTACTGCATACTGCGTCCGGACGTGCATCCAATGACGTCAAATATAACCATCCTATATTACCTACAGAACAGGGCCTCGAGTATGCTATTACTATAGAGTAATAGCATACTCAAGGCCCTGTTCTGTCTACTATTCTGACACTATTGTCAGAATAGTAGATCACTGGTTTCAAAATTGTTTATTTTGACAAGTTTGGTAATCTACTAACACGATAGCGACATTATGACTTTCCAATGCCACTTCATTGAAATAATTCTTTAGAACGGTAATCTCGTACCTACAAATGACTATTTCACATAATGCGGTAAATTAATAAAAAAATGTCAGTTCCTTTATTCAATGATTTACGTTTAGAATATTAAAGTAATTAAAGTTATTGTTTATAATTAGTTACAAGACATATCGTATTATAATTCTATTTCGACATCGCCGAACGCCAATGATCAGCCATTTTGAATTAACAGATTAAGATTACGAACTTTTAGCAAAATGACAATGGAATCGTGTAGGAATGACAACACTTTGAAAATAGTAGACTCAGGCCCCTGATATCAATATATCTGTTAAACGGTAAACAAGACAGCAATGTGTCTCGTTTAAGTCAGTTATACAGAAATTGACTGAACAATTAGCGCGGTGGCTAGGCAACTGCCGCGCAACGTCTCCCGGTTTCGATTCCCGAACGAAAAATTCTTTGTGTGATCCAAATTGTTGTTCCGGGTGTGATGTAATGTGAATGTGAAATTGTTGAAATGTTTGTAAACGTACCCACGACGTAAAAAAAATGGTAGGGAGACGCAAAGTTTTTTTTTTCAACAAAAACAATAGAACATTTTATCTGACGATTACAATTCGAATCAACGAAAGACCCAAACGAGTTGTACCTAGATGTGCAGAATTGCTCATTTTGTAATGTTGACACTCACTTTTCATTAGTTATATTAACTATGCTATTAGCCAATTAGAATTTCGAAAGACAATACTATAAATTAAACTACACTTACTAAATGCAAACCTGAAAAATACAAAGTCTGTAACCCCTTACCTTAATTCATGAAACCCCAAGCGAATGCTGGTTCGCGCACTTTATTGTTCTTCTATTGTGTGTCGAATTACGATTGAAAGGTTATAATCGCAATCACGTCCTCGTAATAAAAAAAATGGAATGAAAACTGTTCGAAAAAGGTCATTTGTAATGAAATCTATACTAATATTATAAAAAGGTAAATTTGTATGTTTGTAAGTTGGTATGTAGGAGGTAATCTTTGGAACCGCTGGTTGGATTGCCAAAATTCTTTCACTGATAGATAGCTACAATGTTCCTGAGTGCTATATGCTATAAAACATCACGCTACGATCAAATGGAGCCAGCAGCGGGTGAAACCACGCGATAGTAGCTAATGTTTAATAAAATAAAATTAGTAAAAACTTTAAAACTCTTACTTATCCATTCATAATGATTACACACTATTATAACCGGGTCAGTGCTCCCATCGGTTCTAAAAAAAACCCTTTACGATGACCCCTCGTTATCACGTGTTGCGTTGACAAATGGGTTACGCCTCACAGGGTACAAAACCCTCAGGTAGGAATTCATTAGCACGTTAATTAATTGAGAGGCGGACCTGGACCTCCTTAATAACCCACGGCGTCTTTTGAACCTATTTATTTCACCTATTTTTGAATTGTCTTTTTCTTTTCCTTGTCTATGGAATGTTTTTCTTTTTTTTTATTAACGGTAAAAAGGTTATGGTTGCTGTTAGAGCCTGACCTAAGGCTAAAGAAACAGTTATGCGTTGTTGTTTCCGTAATTTTAATAATTACAAAGTAAGGTGTTAAGTTTATTATGACCTACTTACTCAATATTTTTTTCTTTTTCATAGGTACCACCTGTATTTTCTATTCCGTGGGTACCACCTTTTTCGAGTTTTTAGCCGGGAGCACATTACATTTAAGTTTGGAGGACTTAATAAAAAACAGTACGATGGCTTTCTACGGCTGTAAATCAAGGCGTAAAGTTACATTAGTGTTGATAACAATGACTTTGCAGTTATAAGAGCCTGTTTGGACACCAGACAAATTGATATTATTTTGAGGCATTGTCAACATCCAAAAGAAAACTAAGTGAATACTATTATTATACATATTATTTACCAACTTGGAGATCGTAATCAGTATCTCCATCAATCAGATACGCACTGCTACCTATACATCCAACAAAGTGAACATTTATTTTTAATATGAGGGGTTAAACATGAATGAAGCAAATATTGGTTAGTAATCTTCATTGAAAAAGATACTACTAACGCCATCTATGGATACGATTATGAAATAGTAGGAAGCGCCATCTAGTATTCAATAGCATCACTAAGACAGTAAAAATTCAAGCGTCGGATCAAAACATGAATATTTTTTGGCAATAGCAACTCAGTAACTCGTGTCACTCCTATGACCTAACCATCAGAAACACAACTTATAAATAATATTGGAAAAAATTATTGGTCCAGGCGTTAGTGTTCTTTTTACTATAGATAGAAATTTGATTTAAAATTGTTCGATTTTTAAAATATAGATATATATATTAACTATTCAGCTTCGTTAGTATATTTTGCATTGTAGATAAAAATGCTAAAGTTCATAAGAACAAATTTGCCTTAATGCACTTTTATTAAGTCGGGTAAATGTACAACATGGTACAACTACACTCATTAACATAATAATTAATTACATGTACCTACATTAACATTTCAATCGTGGTAGGTAATTCGAAACACAATAGAAAAACAATAAGTGCTCGAGCAGCGTTCGCTTGGGGTAGGATGAATTAATTTAGCAGGCCCTTCTTTATTTCTTCTTTTCAAAGGAAGAAGCTCATCTAGGCCATGGACAAGAAGAAAAGTATGTTAATGCACTTAAGCATTGGTTCGGCCGGGGTTGCAGGTGCAATCGTAATCTATACTTACTAATATTGTAAAGAGGGAAAATTTGTAAGTTTGTATTTAGGGGGGAAACGCTGATCGAATTGCCAAAATTTTGCTGCCGAGCAGTGGGTGAAACCGCGCGAGAGTAGCTAGTAATAATTAAACCGCGGCCCCGACCTGGAGCAAAATAAACCGGGTGCTTTTATATCAGTAAGTGTCAGACTCTTCCAGTCGCCCCCCACACAGTCGTGAATAGTAGAAATAGTCCATTTCCATTAAAAATGTTCCCTTTCAAAAAACCCTTAATTAGTTAACTAACTACGTAAAATAAGTGGACTATTAAGAGGCCAAGGTTAATTCCTGATGAAGCTTGACCCTGGGCGGGATATGATGATTTTCCGATCACAAAAAAGGGGCTATAAAATTGTGTCTCCATCCATTTGGGGTTTATGGATTTAAGCATTAAGGATAATGTATAAGGGAATTTGGCCCGCCAGTAACCATACTGACACAGCAAAACATAACACAAGCCTTGTTTCATACTGATTACCTGTAAGATCATGGTTAGGCAAACCGGCCATTTCATGTCGAAGCATTATGGCTCTTCCGTACATAAACTTTAAACTTAAATAATATTATACCAGAAACAGTATCGTGTCAGTTTAATAATTCAAAACACTTTTATCTCATCATAAGTGATCACAGCTTCCTAAATAGATGGGATCGTAGCAAAAGTTATTTGCTCGACAGACCTGTTAAAACTTTATACGAGAAACGATCGCATTAAGTGCTGATGGTTAAAAAAACATTTATATGCAAAGAAAACGAAAGAAAAAAACAGAAAAGGGGCATGTGGACGAGCAAAGTGTGTAAAGGTCTGTTAAGAGCTGTCGGCCTATGGATGAGCACAGTATAAATAAATGTTTGCATCAGTAAATAATCTATAAAGGTATAAATAATGGACACGAAACTAGGTCAAGACATTACACTATTACCAATATCACCACTCCTCTATGTAGGTAGACTATAAGAATTTCAACATTTCTAAAAGAATGGCCGAGATAAAGCCATAATCTAGGGAATAAGTCTCATCTTAACTTATCATTGCGTTACGCAAGATCTCGAAGCTGTCAATTCCACAACGATAACTGAACTATCAGTCGAATTTTCTCCAGTTATCATTAAGAGTGTGGCTTATCTTCCAAAGAATACTTTTGCCATTTAGTTCCCAAGTGGACGGGACTCCACGAGACCGCGTATTTGTGCGGGGTTATTGAAGTTCTCGAAGTTATTGGTGTTGGAGACAAGATGGATAGGCCTAGCACTAGCCGGCAGTCTGTTGAGAAAGTGGAAATGTTTGAGGTTCGGGAGCATGTGCCGTACCAAGCTGAATTAACACGAGCTCCAGCAGCCTATGATGAGGAAAGTGGCGATGTGTATGACTCCTCGTGGACGTCCGCCTTCCGTGCCATGTGCCAGCTCATCAACCTCCTCCACCACATGCAGGTCGCGATAATTGTCTTCTGTTTGTGGCACTTCGCTCTGACCGCAGAAGCTAATGGAAGCATCAGTAACTTGGAACTCCATATCATTTTTGCTGGAACTGGCGTACGTACCTTTTTATAAAATTGTACTACAAAAATGTGTCGTTCTTGAAGACTATTAAATTGATTTCTATGTGTTAAGTGAATGTTTTTTAATAGTGATGAAAAAGCCTCAATTGGAACAGTCACAGTCGCTACTCTTGGTTCTTGTTTGGCTGATACGTGCATAGTATACATGGCAAATAGTTCCTATCCATACCTACTACATTATTATATTCCAAGACATCTATTAATGATCTTGATCGTAATCAAGATAAATCACATTAGTTCAAAGTTATTAGTTCTACTAGTATCTATACATACATAGCTTCTAACCTCCTCAAGACGAAGAGTAAGATACATTTCTTACAACTATAAGCACATATAATCAAACAAATAAGTTACACAATACATCTAGAGCTTGAACACCTGCCTATAAACAAATCATTGTGGAATGTTCTCGACCTTGGTATGATTTGCGTAAAAGATCTGTCGTTTACGTGTATGATGAGTAGTACTCTCACTACGTTTTATGATAAGCTAAGGCTTGAGCGCAAAATAAAACATCTGTAGTAGAATCGCTTATTGAAAACCAATTATTATGTTAGATACCTACATCCTTTATACTATAGATTGAAATACATTAATGTGTTGACATTAAATTTCATAGCAACTTCATTAAAAAGATGAAACAAATTGCATATTTAACTCCTAAGTTTCTATCTATTGCCTCAGGATTTTGCCCTCACTTTGGACGGGACTATTATGTTGAAAATTTTGGCCTCACTCATAACCGCTATCAGCTTGTAAGCTCTCCACTACCTACTGGTAAAAATAATGCGCATTGCTCACCAAGCTTATTCAGTTGCCAATATTATTACTTGTAGTGATTCCATGTCGGACCTTCGTAGGTAGTTGTGAAGCAGGCGCCACGACCATCTATTAATTTAAAGCGACTACCGCCTACCATAATAACTAGCGTATTTTACTTATTGAATTTGAAACGCCTTTGTCATAATCGCCATTGGATAGCTAACTGGATTCTAGTTTACCTACATGATGTATTTCCATTAATTTCAGTACCAACTGTTCCTGGTAGAAGCAATATTGACCCTGCACAGACACAATTCCTGGTCATTCCAACTGTCGAAAGATGGTAAACGGATCGTCCACGGATGCTTGCAGCTGATTGGATCGTTATTTGTGATCGCTGGCACATTCCTTGGACTGGCTAGAGTTGATATGGTTGTGTCAACACCACATGGAATTTGCGGTAAGAAATTTACCTTTACCTGACAATAAGCTGGTGTTCGCTTGGGGTTTGATGAATTAAAAGCTTCAGGATTTGTGCAAACGACTTTAGATAATTTATAGAATCAGGCGTTACTTTGCGGATCCATGACATTAAATGTTAGGAAAAATATTTAGTTTTAATTCCGCGACAAAAATCCAGATATTGACTCGACGAGCGCTCGTCGAGTCAACATCTCCTGAGGATGCCCTGTGGAGGGGCGAAACACGTGTCGAGTATAGGTTTAGTTGCGTGGCTTGTTTTTCCGTTTTGTTTATGTGTGCATATGCATGTACCCTTGCTGCATGTGCATATGCATGATTGCATAGGAGTGGGATTGCATCCTGCAACAAGCCTGGATTTTTGTCGCGGAATTAAAACTAAATATTTTCCCTAAAATTTAATCAACTCGACTTTTGTCCGTTGAAGACAAAAATTATACTGGTAACTTAGCTAACTAGACGCCAGGGTCCACCACATTCGTACCTCTTTTGTCAAGATAGTTACATAGATACTTTAAAATCTGTATTGAATAGTAAACTAAACTAAATTAAGTAAACTAATTAAGGCGTTCCGCCATGCATATTTATAATCTATATAATTTATATTCTTCGTCTGCACAAGTCCGTATGATCTATACGGACTTGTGCTGTTACTTCATACTAACATCTGTTATAAATCCGAAAGTTACGATGTTTGCATGTTTGTTACTCAATCACGCCAAAACGGCGGGACGGATCTGGATGAAATTTGGCACAGGCATAGGATACACTCCGGAACTACTTTTTATCTAGGTACATACCCAGCGGGCAAAGTTGCGGGCGGAAACTAGTATCTAATAATTTTTCATGCTTAAATAGTATGTTATCTACCGTTACCAACATTAAGAAATGATTATATTTTTAAAACATAATAAAGTCAAGATTTCTACCCTGATACACTTTATAGTATTCATTGAGTACTCATTGATATGTTTTTCTTCTTAGGATAGTTATGAGATTTTTATTTATTTATTATTTTATTATTTAGGAAACAAACAGTCACTTACAAACTAATGATTACAATATAATTAACACATAAAGACTTTGATTTCCATAACGTAAGATTTTTCTAAGTAGGTATTACTTACTTAGTTTATTTATCAATACATCCCAAACTCGAACGAACAACATCTCTGGACGTATCTCGAATTATCAAGTGTTATCATACAGGTACATATTGGGAAAACCGAATCAAACTGTGTTAAGGTTGTTCGTAACTGCGAATTCCATTGAAATGAGTAGAATAACTAACGGATAGGATTTGATAGGAACTATTGCAATAACCCGTGTGAGATTAGACTACTAGAGATAGGTAGAGATTTCATTAGTATAGATAGATATATTATATCTTTAATACTTAGTCATTGTAGTAGTAGCCAAATCTACTACCAGAAATAGGTATGTTATTGACACTTATCGTCACTGTTTACTAGCTTCCATCCGAAGCTTCGCCCGTTGATAAAAGCAGCCAAATAGGCTGCTTTTTGTTAATCCCAGGATATCCGTGTATTAGCCGTAAGCGCAATGAGGCACCGCGACCTCGGCCGAGAGCTGGAGAAGAAACAGGGGGTTTTTAGTCAGTAAGAGTCCAACACTCCCTCCCGCCCTAGCCTGGGCTAGAGAAGTCATTTGATGATTTTCACCTGACAAAAAAAGGATCTAGGTAACTGACTATAAACCCTCCTGTTCCTTGTCCTGCACCAGGCCCGGGCGGCGGTACATTAGTGTATCTAGTTACTTGTCTGTTTCAATTCTGAATTTTAAAAGGTTTTCTTCACCAATGTAATTTCAATGATATATGTAACATTTTTCGCTCGTCATCGTTTCAGTGATGATAATAATATCATCGATATCTTGACAGAACACTTCAGTCGATTGCTTTGGTAACATTGTTTGTCTATAAGCCATAAGTTTGGTAACAAAAATCAAATCAATTGAATATTACCTACCCTACTTCGGTCATTTAGTGGGATTATGCTGTACACTGTAAATAAGTAGGTATGCCTAAAGTAAACACATTTAAATCTTTAAATGTAATTCTGTTTTATCATCATACTATCCGTATCAATCAATGAATTTCCTAAATCGTAAGTAAATTGAACTTTGGCGGGCTATGTTGAAGCGCTCATCTCAATCCTTAATCAATAATATGATAATATTGTCAATGCCTAGTGTTATGACAAGAGCAACTCGCAAGCTTGTGTCACAATTTTTGAACACCACAATCAATTACTTACAGGGGTTGCAAGGTATACGAAAGCGTTACTGTAGAAATACATACATAAAAAGAGATCCGATGTTCGCATCAGAATCAGATGTCAAGTAAATAGGCATCCAATACTATCTTCCACTCACAGCTTCGCTTGAGTGATTGACCAAATTTCAACCAAATCGGTCCAGTCGTTTTTGCGTGAAAGAGTAGCTACATACATCCATACATTCTCACATACTTTACCATTTATAACATCAGTAGATTTAGTAGGAGTTAATCCATATTCAATTTCTGATTCGTTGCGAAAAAAAAAACAAATGGCAAAACACTGAGCCTTCATTTTAGAATGAGGTTTTAAACTGACATTTTCTCTGTTACAGGTGTCATCGCGTTAGCATTCACCCTCTTGAGTTTCGTCTCAGGCATCATAGCACTATTTTCAGCTAAAGTCCGGTTAATGGTCAGGAGTGGGCCCGTCAAGATCATACATTTAGCAGTGGGCCTCTTTGCTGTTTCCATGGGCCTTATAACTATAGTTCTGGGATTCCATATGGACTTCTACGCTGCTTCACGAGAAGGTCTATCATCAGCCCTCATAGTATTTACTTTATTAATATTAGTTTACATCATGATCCAGCCTATTTACGACTTGGTGACAAATACAAGAAAAGCTATGTGACTAATGAAAATACAGGGCTCTCCAGATGATGATAGTAATGCGTAGTGTAAACTTATTTTTAAGCCAAAATGACGAGCCTATAGTGCTGCCATATTATCTATTTTAGTGTATAAAATTGGAACTAAATACAAACGAATTAAAAAAATAAAAACCACAAATATAAAAGGGACACCATTTAAAGTACTGATCAGATAAATTGGCAACGCTATTGGTATTTTATTTTTAAGTTAGTTTTAAATATTTACTCATAGATCCATGAACCATATCACACCATAGAAATCACAATCATTGACGTTTTCATAAATTCAAAAACATCCACTTTCCATATCATTTGTATGTGAGGAACGTGTGTGCTTGCAAAAAAACCGGTTTTTATGCGTAATTCCAATGTTACGCGTAAATAATCCCCGATTAGCTTTTTGTTAATTTATTAAGTAAATGACAATAATTTATTATTAAGTGTTAAGTATATTATCAATTTTAACAAAATGTGTTTTAGGATAATGTAATAAGACCCTACTTGCGTTCGTTGGTAGGTCCTGTATTGTTATTTTTACATTCATCTATTTTGTTAAGTTACATTTAAGTATTCTTCTTTTCTTTTTAGGTGCTTATATTGTTATTTTCTTATAATAATAGTAAGTTTAACCTAATACATGCATGTATGAGTGTTATTTAATTATTAAACGTTTATAATAATCTTTGAATTATTTATTTTTTCATCCTAACTTAGTACCTACAGAGGTCCGTGATTTTTTCAAATCATAGATTGGCCGCCTGCGGCAATAAGCTAAATATAAGTACTAATGCCCACCAGATAACGGTTGACAACATTTTGAAATCTCAGCCATTTTTTATTCACTTTAAGGATCAATATTCTCGCTTTTTGCACTATTTCAGAAGTTTTCGTTGTACAACCAATTTGGTCACTTTAATATCGTAAGTCCTTGTCTCAGAATACAGAAGTATTCTGAGGTCCTTGTTAATAACAAGTATTTCATAATAAATTGTGAAAATAATAGTATAAGTTGTAATTACCTTGCATTATACATATAAATAACTAAAAGTTAACTATTGAAATTATTGTGGCTTATTATAAACACTCTTATTATTATAAACAAGCTTATTATAAACACTCTTATTATTATAAACAAGCTTATTATAAGTGTGGGAGAGCCATGCTTCGGCACGAATGGGTCAACTCGACCGGAGTGATACCACGGCCTCACAGAAGACCGACGTGAAACAACCACAGCGTTGTGTTTCGCCGTGTGAGTGAGGTTACCGGAGATCCTTCCCCTCCCCCAATCCCTCCTCAATCCCTAAATCTCCAAATCCCTAATCCTTAAAAGATCGGCAAAGCACTCGTAACTCCTCCGTTGCGGGTGTGTATGGGCGACGCTGATTGCTTACCATCAGGTAATCCGTCGGCTCGTTTGCCGATCAATTACATAAAAAAAAATCTTTTTTAAAAAGTTATCGATAAATTTTATTTTTATCCTACTTATATGATGACAACTATAAACCTGTTTTGTGTTATTTTGAATCTTTTTTGTATTGATGCAACCCCAAAATATTTTTGTTACTGGTATGATTTTCGGACGCTAAAATCAAAACTTTGTTGTCATCGCTGCTGATGTTCCTCAGCTACAAACTTAAGCAATCTATGTATTGCTGTTTCGTTCACTCATGCTATGTCAAAAAGAGACAAAGAGCACTTCTAATAAATGCCTTAATGAAAGAGTAAACTTTTGACATGAAACGCACAAACCTGTAAACGTCAATGTCATCTTAGAATTGTCCGGCGAAGTTGCATTTTCATAAAACAAGAAATTATTACAGTAACCAAGTTAATTAAGCGATTTATAAATACTATAATACTTGCATTATATAAACATGGTAAGTTATGTTCCAATTTCATTGCGATATTGACGAAAAAATTCAATAGACAAAGGTTAGTAATCTTGCTTGGTCATTCAATCATTTTGATTCAAAATATTATTTTCTACAGGCGCGGCGTTATGATACTCGTACAACTATTTTCTCGCCGGAAGGTAAATATTGTGACATATTTCATATTGTACTTATATTAGACTTGTACCCAAACTATAATGTTCTCTTTTTTTAGGTCGGCTTTACCAGGTTGAGTATGCTATGGAAGCCATCAGTCATGCGGGAACATGTCTAGGTATTTTGGCTACGGACGGCATCTTGCTGGCTGCGGAACGTAGAAATACAAACAAACTGCTTGATGAAGTATTCTTCTCTGAAAAGATCTATAAGTTGAATGATGACATGGTGTGTTCAGTGGCTGGTATCACGTCCGACGCCAATGTTCTGACTAACGAACTTAGACTGATTGCCCAGAGATACCTTCTGCAGTATGGAGAGTCTATTCCTTGTGAACAACTTGTTTCTTGGCTGTGTGATGTCAAGCAAGCCTACACACAGTATGGAGGTAACTGAATATTTTAATCTATAGACCATTTCTTCCTTTTATTATTTTCTATATCTCCTCAACCTCGAAACTGCCACTAGACTTGACAATAGTATACTAATAGTTACACAATGTCTTAGATCTGTTGACAAACCTTAATATAATTTTCTTATGAATATACTATTGTTATTGTAGTTACATTAGATACATTAAATAATGAGTTTTTATTTTGTAGGTAAAAGACCTTTTGGTGTGTCAATCCTGTATATGGGCTGGGACAAGCACTACGGCTACCAGCTCTACCAATCAGACCCCAGCGGTAACTACGGTGGATGGAAAGCGACATGCATTGGAAACAACAGTGCGGTGAGTTATTTACTGGTTGATGTTTTGAATTAAAATTTTATGTTTTTTGTAGTTCTAACAAAACCTTAAATATCTGACTGAATTATTGTATGATGTTTGTATCATGATTCTGAAATAGAACAGATCATACTCAATGAAACAGTGCTGCTACAAAATTTACATTTTAGATTAAGTTTCTTTCCAAGAGTTCCTTTTTCTGGCTAATGGCTGCTATACTCTCACACAAATTGAGTGATATTTCATTTATTAAGATTTACCAGCGGCTTCTTTGTACAATAGAGCTTATCTATTTATATGACTATTAATTAATAAACTTATAAGATTAGAATTGCATAATAACACCCCTCCTTTTGTGTAGCGAGTTAACAACTTTGTTCAACATTTATTTTTTTATTCAGGCTGCTGTATCAAGTCTGAAACAGGAATACAAGGAGAATGAGACCACCCTTGCTGAAGCCCAGGCTTTGGCCATCAAGGTGCTCAGCAAGACTCTGGACATGACCAAGCTGACTCCAGAGAAAGGTATGTGGTTTGTTAATGATTTGACTTTGATTTTTTAAAGTATGTTAGGCAATTCAACTAGACAAATGTAATGTTTGTTGAATTAACACAGAGGTTTCTGTAATTTTTGTGATTGTTGAAGACAAAATGAATATTTTATTTTTAGAATATTTATTAATTACCGAAGTTGATATTGGAATTCAATTTCTTTTGAGACAAATATTTATTAACACTAATAGGCCATCTGAATATCTACCGTGTTGTACTAGCAAATGGTGTTGTACATGCTGAAACTGTATGTGTTTTTATATTTTATTTTATTGTGTAAGTTGTATTTATGTAAATCTGTCATTTTCACTAAATCATAGAAATCTCATTTTATTTAGTTTGTGTAATTTTATAGAAAAGTTCATGAACTTTTTTACTTGCAGTGGAAATGGCAACATTGACGCGTAAAGACAACAAGACTATCATCCGAGTTTTAACCAGCACTGAAGTAGAGAAACTTATTGCTGACTTTGAGAAGAGTGAGGCCGAAGCTGAAGCCGCCAAGAAGCAGCCCCCCAAGTCGTAATTGTTCTCCTGTTTGGAATAAGTGTTCTCATATTGGTCCATTAAATATTTTGCAATATATTCCTTTAGCTTTCATTTTCTATACATATTTATATATCTAGAACAAACCTGATGTAGGTCCTGCTCCTCCATCTTAACGTTGATGTGATCTATAATTTACTGAGCTCTTTTTTGTGAAGGGAAAATCCCTCCTTTCGGCATGGTGAGCCGAGAGAGGGTGTCAGCCTTACCTACTGACTTTATTGCGCTTGGCCCGCGACACCGGCTAAGCATTGGCCATGTTGGGCTCCATCTGTGGTAGTCCATTAGCTCTTTGAGGCTCTCAGGATCTGATTCTGGTTTGGGAGCGAGCTACCCTTGCTCGCCTACTGCAGTCCTGCGCTTACGAGAGATCGTTGCTCAATTGCCGACGTCCGGAATAACTATCACCGGCAATGGGTAAGGCGTGAGGACAGCTCCCGCCGCCTCCTTTGCGAGCATCGCAGAAAGAGGAGAAGGCTAACCAGTTCTCCTCGCTCCGCAGTATGGCATCGACTAAGGCTGGACGCGAAAGGTCTTTACCGCAGACACGGCGGTGCTGAGCCCAGGCAGGGACCACCATTACTGTGTCCTCTGGGAAGTCCTCACAATGACGACACGCGGGTGTTTTCGAAATAGGTGACCTACCAAAACACCAGTGTCCTTAAATTCAAAAAAAATCTTTAATTTTCTTTAACTTTATGAGAACTAGTTGATGAGACATGATTAAATTTTCCTTTTTTCATTAATAACAACTGTTGATTAGAATCGTTTCGCAATCGACAAAGTCATAAAAAGCAATATTCACATCACTAAACAGTCGACGTCAAGTAATCTGTCAACTGTCAACGTCATTTAAAAACACGTATTTACATCTGATCAATACCCATATGTCAACAAATTGAACAAATTCAAAATAAGTAAAATATTTAGGTTTTCTAGAATATAAATGTACTATAAGCTAAGTTATTAAATTTCTGATCGACTTCGCCATAAATATACTTGGAAAATGGCTGTGGAAGGGCCCGAGAGACCTAAGCCCTTGCCTGTTGCAAAGAAATCACGAATGGAAATGAATGTAAGGCTACTATTGAATAAATGCGAGCTGATGGCCAAACAGGAACCTATTGACAACAATTGTAGGCTCGAGCAATACGTAGAAACTTTGACTGAAATGATAGCAGAACTCAAAACTTCTAAAGAGTAAGTGCATCCTTATTACTCTATTTGTTTAATGAAAGTCACGCTTTTTGAAGACATTATTCTTGGTCTGTCGAGTGTAGTTAATAAAATTGTCCCTCACCATTCTAACAGCTACTGGACATTCAACGATAAACATAGCCCTTGAACCAAAATCATTGTCTAGGATAATTGTTTATTACTTTAATGATTGCTGTCACCAATTTAAACACAAACTCACTCATGATTTACAGCCTCATCATCTTGTTTGAAGAAGTACTCCACTATTTACAATCCAGTTAATAATAAATACATATAAGTAAGCCATTAAAAATAATCTCAACATTCTCAGTATGTTTTAGAATACATTGAAAAGTATAACTTTATAATCTCCATTTACATTCTTTCAGCAAACCACCAAAGGAACAGTTAGCAGAATATATAAAAAGAGCCTCATTCTTGAAAGGTGTTGTTCAAACAGCTTCATTGAACACTCCCAGTGAAAAGGTTTGTATTATATTTCCATAGCAATTTTGAATTAAAATATACAAAAACTACAAAACTTTTTTTAATATTTACTGCAAATAAAGGCTAAACTGACATCTTCAATTAACAACTACCATTAGTTTACCAGCAATAATAAATTCAATTTAAAGACTTATAAATACTGTTAAAGTTTCAATTTTAAATGTTTGTCTTAGACATTTTATTTATGAATAATATGTATATGTTCTTATTTCGTTTTGATTTTTGTTTACCTATGGTGTGCCAGAATGCTGATACTAGTGACAGGGTAGAACAAATTTTCTGATGTGTCTATTCACAATGTTTTTAACTAGTAAAAACACTCAGTGCTGGTAGGAGAAACAAGTAGCAATTTTTATGTGTGATAGACTTTCTGACTACTTGGTGGAAAGCAATGGTTGTCCATGGGCAACATGAGATTAAGAATAATGTAATTGGAGAGAGTGGGAGAAGGGCATTAAATTGTATGTTGCTGTTTTATTTGTGTGTTCAAGAATGTATTATTATACTAGCAGTCGGATGTATTAAATTTTACAGAACTTTTTAAATTTTCTCTACATACAAACTTTTCTATCCTTCCACAAATAATTCAAGACCAAAATTTGCCAAATCACCAAATGCTTTGTTTGGTTATATCATTACAATGAAAAGTACCATTGATTTTTCTATAATAATTATAGATTACTAAAACTTGGTTTACAGTTGGAAGCAGTTCAGTTATTATCACATGGAGCAGCTACCATGTCTGCTGATGCATCAGCTCAAGAGATACACCAGAAGACTAGAGTAAAATATGGAGTTGAACTTAGATCTGAATTATTTGGACTAGGTTAGTTACAAATGGCTTTCTGTTAACTTCTGTTTTTGCATGTTGTTTGTTATAGTTGATGCTTTAAACTTTGTATCTAATTGGATTGTATAGCCATTTGTTGCTTAGTTGAGTGCTTTTCTTCCTGCCCCTTTCGCAGCATGATATTTAATTATCTAAAAAACTCTTTAATTTTTGCAATCACGGTATTTTGAGACACTTGAAAATATCTCTGTTACAGCATGTAGCATTAAGTTTTATTGATTATTAAAAATGTAGTAACAAAAATGCTAAGAACATATTGAGATTATTATATCTGAATTCATTTCTGATACCACCAATTAAATATAATTATTTTCTCTTATAAATAAATTGACATGTCACAAAGGCTTCATACTGGAATGAACCTGATTGGTACATTATTCTAATGAGATTCCAATGCTCGAACTCAATAAAATTATTCTTACTATTTACCACTCTAATCTTAGTTCTTTTCTCAAAACTTTCAGAAGACAGCGATGACACACTACGAAAAAGGAATATCATCAAAGCACCAAACTTCACAAGCAATAGTAGCGGCCAGGAGGATATAGACTCCTTGCTCAAATACCACCAGAATATGCAGGAGAAAGTTGCGGAGAACATGGTGTTACTCACCAAGAGCTTGAAGGAACAGTCTCAGATTGCCAGCACGATTATCAAAGGGGATACTGAGGTAAGTTATAATGTAAGAAGAGAATTTTGGGCTTCGGTATTTGTGTATGATATTGAGCTGTTATTTTTATGGGATATGGCGTAGAAGAAAAAGACCCTGATGGGAATCAATTGGCATTGCCGACACGTGCGTTGCTGGTCTTTTGAGGGCATCAGGAATTTGAGGCCAATCCACATATTCTGGATGGATTTGGGGCTTTGCAAAAGGAGAGACAGACATTTCTAGTCTCTGGTAGCCTAATTCAGCGAATCGATGTGCTTGCGTGCACACACAAAAGTATTTCATGCTTTTCGTTAGTTTCTGATATGTTATGATTGATTGTCTTTGGGCTTTTTTTATGGAAAGATCAGCAAACGAGCAGGCGGATTACCTGATAGTAAGCAATCAGCGCTCATGGACACCCGCGACAACAAAGGAGTTACCTTTACGGGTTTCAGTTATTTATGGATTGGGAAGGGATAGGGGTGATTGGGCCTCCAGTAACCTCACTCACACGGCGAAACACAAATTTACATACACAAGCCACCCAGACGTGAAACAACAATTTGTGAATCACACTGTTGTGCCGTGCGGAATCGAAGCAAGCAGTCAAAATACGAGTTCATATTAAAATCCAATAAGAAAGTTAACGTTTCCATTTATCCATTTCCAGGCTTTGAAGAAATCCTCGGAGCTGACAGATCGTAATATTTCCTCATTGAAAGTGGAATCAGATAGACTGCAGGAGCACAGTAAGAGTGCTTGGAAATGCTGGCTGTGGATCATGCTGGCTATTGTAATGGCTATCTTTATAAGTAAGTCGGAATGAATTTTCTTAGTGCCACCTCTTTTCTGAAGGTCGGCTTTCAAATTTTTCAATTCATTCTTCTCAACGGAAGACATCCTCTGCTGGATAAAGACCTCCCCCTTAGTAATGACAAGTCGCCAGTTATAAACCTTTGTTTTTTATATTATCTATGGGTACTAGTATTACAAAGAAGTAAAGTTTGTATGTAGGGGTAATCTTTGGAACCGCTGGACGGATTTTTAAAATTCTTTCGCTGAAAGATAGCTACAATGTTCCAGAGTGCTATAGGAACCAGAAGGAGAAACGGGAGCAAGTCTCGATTGTCGTACTATCAGGGCTATGAGATACAGGCTGGTTACAAAGACACGGGTGGACGGACAACATCAGCCTTTAAAAGAGTTCCTATTTTAAATCTTAGTTACAAAAATATTATAAGAAAACTCTAAAGCTTAATGGTTTTTTTTTCAGATATGGTGCTATTCATGAAGGTTATGAAAAAAAAGGTAGTCACGTAAAGGTATGTTTTTTAATTCCATGTGATAAGCAGAAAGTGACAAGGTCATGCATTGTATCTAGTTCAATACTTATAATATATTATGTGTAATATATCTGTAGTTATAAATTATAACTTTTTTTATAAATATAATATTTAACTTATAAATGTTATTTAATTTATCTGTTAGTTTGGATATAAAATAAACTTTCTCTCTATACTTAATGTTTTTTTTTATCTATCTATCTTATAAGAAACTATATTTTTTCTGTAAATAATTATTTTAAACAACTAACTAAAATAAATAAATATATCAACATCAATCTCAGTGTTTCGCATGTAAAATGTAATTTTTTAACCAAATTTGTTTTACTTCGACATGCCAATTTGACAATTTGGTCCATTAATTTTACTGCTACATTTATTTAGAGACTACTGTCTCTCTATTTAGAAAGCCAAAATTTTCACTACATTTATTTCCTTATGAAAATTATATTTCACATACTACACGCTAAAGACGATTGTACACATAAGAATAATAGTGTTGTCATAAAAAATAAGACTGCACAGATTTTTAGGCCAATTCATTGGTATCTCATAAATTTGAATATACAGTATGGTATTTTCAAAATTTTACTTCCCCGTGCAAATTGATCAATCAGCTATTGCGATTTGTATGCAGAAATAAATTTATTTTCATTTCCATAATTGGTCTTATGGAAAAATATGTTTTATTTAAGCGTCAGAATCGGGCCCTTGAATATGTCCCTTGTTCAAAATATCACCCTGTAGAAAGCGTGAACTACATATGTGAATAATTTTATATGCAACTTATACAAAGGTGGTAAAATAGGTGCCACATTTGTATGCTTTTTGTATTGCAGCTTTTAAAAATGCTTAGAAATTAAATCCTTCTACACTTTTAATTTAGTTTTTGCTCTATCGGAACTGCACACGGTCTTAAATCAGTTGATAAAAAACTTAAACTGTATAAAATTTATAATACAAACAATGGAAGGTAATTAGAACCTTATTTTTATATTCATTTCATATAGGAAGACATACAATCGGCTAACGACGCCCGCGTGTACAATCGCTTTGCTTTTTCTAAGGTCTTAGGGTTAAATCAATTAATTATCTGTGCGTGTTTTTTGGCCCTTTAATTACACAATATTAAACATTTCTATCATACATTTATTTCTCTTTAAATTAGCCAAAATGGCAGGAACATTTACGTACATAAATATATTATAAAGTTCAAATCTATACTGCAATTTGACTTATTGATCGAAAATTAACTTTATTTCCTTTATACTATGTAGAAGCAATTTTAGTTTTCCTCTACGATATTATGAACTGAGTACGCAGAAGTTTAAAGAACACTAGTTTTTTTTTTAATTTACTAGGACTACAAGTCTGGTTATAAGTAGTACTTTAATCAGGAGCGTATAGTAATATCATAATAATATTCCTAGAATCATCATTTACATGCATCTCTTTCCTATATTCAGTGAATTTTATTCACCACCAAGCAATCTAATATACTCTGAAGTTAGTTAAAGATTGTTCTATATAGCTTCTTCTAATACATTTACTTTTTATCATAAACATCTGTTAGTTCAAATTTCCATATCTTGTTTGGTCCAATTTCTGTGACGTAGAGATGGGACCCGTTTCTTGTGACTGCCACTGAGTGAGGGTTGGTGAAGCCCTGAAAATATACAGAATATTATGTTAAAGAAGAATATACTTAGTTTGTTCTTAGTCAAAGTTCAGAGTTCCCTGTATCTATTGGAGTAACAACCATGTTGGATTAACTAGTCCATAATGAATTACTCCCAAAAGCCCCAAAATCAAATAAGAAAACTTCAGCTCCATGTTTGAGCGGATTTCTGTTTGTTTTTGTTTGGGTAAACAAACAGAGGATACTCTAAAATCTAATTGTAGACAGTGATGAACGCACATTATTAAAATAATTAATCAATGGTGCAATAATACTTACAGTAGTAGGTTCCCAGGTATCCAAAATATTCTCATAGAAAGCATTCACAGTAAAACCTCGAACTGCAATATTCTGGGACGTCGGTCCGTTCACAGCGTATATCGTGTCACCATGGGACGCTACGGCGAATACCCTGCCAAGCGTGGGATCCTCAATAACAGTGGTCGGTTCGTCAAACCTATCCACGTAGCTCTTCAAGCCAGCCTTTGGGCAGACAATCCTCATGTTCTCCCTGTCAGCAACGCAGACCAAGTCCAAATGCTCCAATAATGTCACACTATGAGGGACATTTAGGGTCCAAGATTCAGAAACCGATGGTATAGCCAGCAAAAGCTTTCCAGCCGCGTTGAACTTCAGTATCTGGTTGTTACAGTAGCCATCGGCCACAAATATTTCGCCCGTGGTTGCGACGGCTACGGAGGTTGGCATGCAAAGGTAGTGCACCGGAGAACGACGTCTGAACGGGAACCCGGCGGTGAACGCTTCTCCGATCGTCAATGTTGGGTATTTGTGATTATTCGGAATGTACTGGAAGGAAAAGAAAGATTTGTGCTGGTCTTTAATCTAATAAATAAGGCCACTAAAAAAATATGTTTCGTCCTTTTGCGTATTAAAACCAGAAATGGAAGCCATCAATCAAATTCGGCCGGCCTTGAGCTATATCGTGTCCATGAATTCAAGTTCAATCAATATTTTTTTTCAGTACGATAAATGACACGTAAGACTGTCTACTATATTACCTTAAAAACTTGATGCTTAGCAACGTCAGTAACCCAAACGTTATCATGATGGTCCACAGTCAGTCCATGAGGCATGTAGAAGGCGTATGCTCCCCAGCTGTGCAAAACAGACCCGGTATGGGGATCCAAGACTAGAATGGTATCCTCTATGATCGGACCCTTGTCCAAGTCTTGGTAAACGTTGGATTCGTTGAAAGTGCTGTAAGGGAAACACCAGGAAATATTTAGAGAGAGATCTGTTAAAGCAGTACTTTTTATATACAAATTCGCTGCACTTTGTTAGTTCTTGAATCTCACAATGATCTTTAAAAAATATTGTTTGAGGAAAACAAAAGGTACCTATTTGTTTCTACAACTGAATGAGTTATGGATCAAATCTTCAAATGCGAATGAAGGTAAAATAGAATTGATCACTCAGTCATATCACCGAAATAAAGAACGCCCAACTAACCACGGAACTGCTGGAATGCGGAAATTGCTGAGATAAGATTCAGTCTTTATTTCACACTTCACAATCAGTTCTGAACTTTTTTTTTAATAAAACTTATATTTTAGGGCTTTGAGAAAATGGGATATTGTAATTAAAATTTACCTTTCGTCCCATACTCGCTCAGCTCTGTGGAATATCACGGGTTGTCCCAAAGAATTAATGGATACCGCAGTTATCTGTCCCACGTTTAGCGATGTTTGAGGCCAATCCTTCACTTCTTGGGGTCGTAAAACAATTTCATCTTTCGGCTGGAAAATTTTAGAAACACACTTTAGCACTTGGGTTTATGTAACTTTATGGCTATGTAGACAAAGGTTACGTTACGCACGTAATACATAATTTTGGATATAGTGCGAAAGTTACTTACCAAGTTATAACTGAAATAGTCAAAATTATCCCTCACTGTTTCTGGCTCACAATAGATTCCCGTTAAAGACAGAAGAAACACGAGTGTCGGCAACATTTTGTTGGATCCCGATATTTGTTGTGGTCCACGTATTGTTAGGGTCGAATTGCTGTCTGCTTCAGATATTGATTATTCACTTTCAGACAAAGCGCGATACGCATGCGCGTGCCTCCAATGGCTTCTCATACATAGTCAAGGTCAAAATTGGGGAAACGAGAAATGAAATTCATAAATATCGAATGAACATAGATTTATTTTTCACATAACTTGAAACATGTGTATTCAACGTAATTGGCAGTGTAATCGCGTGCTACATTTGTGGGTTTAATACATTTATTTGTGATCTAAAATGTGGTGAATAAAGTAATCGAGGTGCATTATCTTAGGCTAAATATGAAAATAGAAGGCGAAATTTAATTTCATTTTATACTGAATCAGTCTCAAATTAGAATCGTTGTGAGAATTTGGCACATTTGCAAGGTTTTTGGAAATTTTGTTGAGACTTAATCATGTCTACGTAACAAGCTAGAATGTTTTGTGTTACAATAATATTTTGAAAATACATTTAGATGTTTATTACGTTCTTTATTGTGGGCGCCATTCCGAGTGGGGTTGATCCCAGATGTATCCAGTTTCTGTCATAGAGCATATGGCGTTGTAATAACGCCCAGGACTTCTGCAGTAGGACCATGAGGGGCATTTACATCGGAAGAGTGTTTGGAACTCTTCCTTGCACACTTCGTTCCACCAGCATGTTCGCTGCAATATTGTATTGGTTAGGAATTTTCTTGATATCGTGAAGAATGGGGTAAAGAAAACCTTTAAAGTACAGTACCTCAGTGATGTATCCTCTCACAGACTGGTCTGAATAGCTTCGTTTGGTTATCGATGCAGTTTCGAGCATTGCACTCAACATAAGGGTTAGCACGAACATCACATATTGCGCCTGAAATGTTTAATACACGAACACTTTACTCACTAACACATGTTTCAAACACTCGTTTATGGTTCTTCTTAGTTGTCTTACCTTAATCATAGCAGAGTTTTGGTCCAAAAATAGAATATTATCGGGCGGCGTTGCCTTTCATTTCCACGCCCCCTGACGGAACTTTCGGTTTTCCGACTAGGGTTGCCTATTCTCACGTGCTTTATCGGTATGTATTATTAAACGCGCGGGACTTTTATTGATTTGTCTTTTACAGGTCAGTGTAATTGGGTCCAGTTTGGTAGGTATGTTAGTGTTACTTAGGGAGCTTTTTGCTTAATATTAAGATTCATGTGCGCTGTAGGGTCCAAATGTTGGTATTTGATTATAGTAGAAGAATTATGGATTTATAGTTGTTTACCTTATTATTCGCAGTAGCTTTTGTGTCTAAAGTAAAGTAAAGGTTTTAGAACTGCTAAAGGATGGTTGAAGTTAAATACTGATGTTTAAGTTCATGGAAGTAACAAAACAAATATATAACAACATTGGTTTTAATACAAAATGCAAATTAGGATAAAAAGGTATATTACTTAAAAACTATAAAATATAATAAAATTTACAAAATCACTAGCTACTTTAGACTCACTTCGTGTTTCCTAACTTACAGTAAAAGTGACAACAAAGATGAGCAGAATAACATTAACACGTAAAAATAAAATTAATTAAAAAATAGAATAAATAACGAACGATAAAGATTTAAAAAAAGAAAATAAAAATAATTCAACTAAACAAACAAAGGCGCGCGCAGATGCTGACGTTCAAACAGCAGAATAAAAAAAAGGAATTTATGCAAGCGTTTGATTACGCGATGCTGTTGTATATCATTATTTGCTCGTCATCACCTTCGCGTGTCTCAATGGAATGGCACTTAGATGTAAAAATAAATAATTTTAGTACAAGTCTAATTACAAAGAGCTTTGGTCGGAACTACCACTACATTTTGGGAATCTATCAACGGCTGTATGAGCCATAGTTTCAATGCAATCACTAAAATTGGTCTACATTGCTTGCACATCTTCTATTTTGTTCTCGTCGACGTCTTCGTGTTCTTGTCGCCTATGCATGTCCTCTGCGTCTTTCCTGGAAAGAACATTATCATGTCAGCTCAGTCACTCATATTTCATTTAACTAACCGTTTTTAACCTTAACCGTAAACCTTTCTTTACATAGGGATTTTCTCCTGTGTCGTGTGTGTTTCACATACATGTTACAGCTTAACGCTGAACAGCAATTTGTGGATCACAAAAAGAGTTGTTCCGTACGGGAATCGAACCCTCGACACATTGCTCGGTAGCTAGTTGCCCAGCTATCGTGTCAACCGTGCCCCCTTGTCTATCTGTAGATTTTACTGGGGTACCAAAGAAATATCATGTATGACTAACCAAGTCTCGTCGACGTCTAACATCACCTAATCTAATGAACCAAACCTTATAATGCTGATAATGAAACAATAATATGGTCATACTCACGAGTATTTGTTAGAAGATTGGAAAATACTCTTGGGACATAATCGGTAATACGGCCAACATTCGCCACCAGATTCCCCGGCTTTTTGGGCTTCTACGTATTCATCTAATAAGCTCGCGTATGGTGACTTGCTAGGTCTGAAATAAGAAAACAAAATTTAATACTGCTTCAGAAAGTAGCCTAGCACAAATTAATTCTTACGAAAATGTGTCCTATTTATTAACACTAGCTGGTCAAAAAGAAATACAATTATTATATAATTTATATTGATTAGGCTGTCTGTTAATTTGCATCACACTTCAATTAATTCTTTGATAGGTACTTAAAATCTCGTAAACGCTAGAATGTAAGACCGACACAAGTTTACGCGACTCTTCTCTTTAGACGTCAGTTATTCTGTCCCCGATAAAGTCGCATCCGGCTATACTGGAAGCTGACCATATCTTAGGAAATAAGCTGATAATGAATTCCATTTTAAATTAAAAGTCGCAACGTAAGATTAGTATATCTTAATGATCAATAAAAATACGTACGTAAAGAATAGCTTCATGACTTCGCCGAGAAAACCGAAGTTTTTGAGAGGATGCGATTGTATTTCGCATATAGCTCGCAGCAAACATTCTTTTCCTGATAATCCAAAGTTTGCAAATATGTCCTCCGCTATCCCATATAATATTGCTCTGGAAAACACAAGGAATAAAAACAAGTCTTATAAAAATATCTTTGTAGACTTCGTAGTCAAAACTTCTGAAACTAAATAACAAAGCTGGCTTGTTACAAATAATACTATTTGTAATCTAGATCAATCTACACCTGTATCTACTTTTTTAAGATACTATTGGTTAAAGATAGACATCTGAAAGTAGCACGAACTTGTGTTTATTGAATTTACTTTTATTGTTTGCTCTCATTCATGGATTTCTTACGTAATTGAAATTAGTTTTCGGATCACATAAAGAATTTGAAACACATTTTCGTAGTAACTTCCTGCGTTTGTCGCCAACTGTCTTTCGTGGTTTGAATTCATGATTCTACATGAAGGAGAAAGTGACGACCAATAACTTAACCGCTACTGTCTAACCCACGTGGTCCCACCAATAGACATACGTGCTAACGGCTTTCCTGTGTGGTCCCTTCAGTACTTTTATTGTTTGTTTTTCCAACACTTACACACTACTCAAGCTTTATCTTGTACTGAAATCTTCATTATAATTGTAACCTTACCTCTCTCCACCATGCAATCTATCGAGTATCGCCTTTTCAACATCTGGTGTTACATTTTCACTGGTAGACCGCTTACCGCGTCTACGATCCAAATATTGTCCCACATAATCCGCCATCATGGAAACCGCCGCTCTTCCCATAGATCGGGCCAAGATAGGCGGAAATGCTCCGTAAGGATTCTCATTGTCCGTTAAACCGAGTTTGTCAAAGTCGACTGGAATTAATAATTATATAATTAGGATTTAAGACGCGTAAGAATATCGTTACATTAGTAAGTATACATAATTTACATTCGTGTACATAACTGTGAGAGCGCATATTTTGATGCAACAAGGTACATTATAATATTCACAGTGCACATAGATGTGCCGTTCGCCAAAATTTATTATTTTGAGTCCTATGCAATTGTAGATTCTCCAATTGCATACTACGGCCACACATTCAGATTCTAATTGAGTTTTTGCGTTGATATCATAAACTTTGTCTATGATATCAACGCAAAAATTCAATTAGAAAGATCCCGTTCGATCAATATTTTGGCAACACATTTTAACAAATTAACATTATTTTTTTTTAGTTAATATATGTCATATAAAAAGTAGGTATATTATTACCTACATTATACTAGGTATCTACGTTAAAACTCTGTTTCTATAACACTACTGTCTACTTAAACTAAGACATCACTAACTATTCTAAACTCTAATTTTTCATCTAAGTACGTGTACTTTATTTACATTTCTTTATATTTTTCTACGAATACTTATTACTAAAATACAATTTATTTCTAAATGCCATTCTCCTTTCTCGGATTTTTTAATATTTTCGGGATAAAATCAACAATATCCAGTATTTTGCAAACGGACATTTCTGAACACAGAAATCTGAGAAAGTAGAAATTTATAGATTTACTAACACAACTAATTACTTAAATAAAATTACAATAACAAACCGTATTAATCTAATCCTGTAGTAATTTTTACATAGGTACTTACTATTATGAATAACTAGTATTTAAAAATACGATCTAATCAATTTTAACTACTATTACAACAGCTACTCTACTTAAAGTTTAAATTACTGACTTTTAAATTTCACTTCGTATTGCAGGTCAGCTGCAAATTATTGAAATAATGCTTTAATAAAGTTTTGAAAATAAGTCTGATATTCTGATGTTCAACATAACATTTAATAGAAAATTGGACAAAGCGGCGAATTAATACTTTTAAGAAAAAAATAAACAAAATAGCACGGCATCGCAATGGAATCTTGTGAATGCTTCAAAAAGTATTGTTTTATATACGGAAAGGGTATTCAATTTTGGTAGCATCTGTATCAACTTATTGTAAAAAAATTATAAATTATAATGAATATGACGATGTAGACATTTATTGAGAAAAAAAGGAAAACAGATTCATTAGATATATGTACTTGAATTTTAAACTCAACTTACTTGTAAATGGGAAACTGACTGTCATATTAGACAAGAATCCTTTCGGTGGATGCCTGACAAATGGCATCGACAGTGATGGTGTGATGGTCATTGTAGTACCAGGTGGTAATGCCAGCCTTCCATCGTTCGTGATCCAGAGTATCCTCTTCTGTCGCGAATGTGGGATGTTCTCTTTAGCCACGCCATCATGGCTGTTTAGCGAAGCCATCGGCAGCAAAGCTGCTAATGCTATGCTTAATATTACTCGGGGAACTGATGCATCCATCGCCTACCTAAGAAAAGATCATTCATTAGTACTGGCTTTTACTCGTACATTCAAATAGAGTTACATAAATAAAACCTCACATATTAATACGTCATTCAAAATATCATCAAATTAGACAATGTCATTCTGACAACACGATAGGTAGTGCTAATATCATTTGTATATTTGTTCACATTAATTAATTATCAGATTTTTAATATGTTATCAAAAAAGTGTACTCATATAAGAATCAGAGACAGTAACGACTACGATCTCGATGTTGATCGATTTATAAAGTTTTTACAGCATGAATATAAGATTGATTTTCGGACTCTGCCGAGATGGGAGCAGTTGGTACAACGTCTACATGTTTCAGCTACCGATTGCAAACGTAAAATTCAAGATGCATACCGACGTAAAAATTTAATTATAGAAAAATTATACATGCAATCAACTAGACCATCGCCTTTTCAGTTAACTGACGGGTTATGTAGAACAGCCAACAAATGGAATCAAATGAAATTGACCCAGAAAGAAAGAAACAAGAATTTATTACCAAAAGTCCAAACAAAATCTGATGAATCGTCAACATCGGTACCAATAAATGAAAGAATTTCGGAAACTGTTCATCCAAATACTGAAATAATTTCATTGGAGTCAAGTAATAAAGAAGATGCCGAATATGTAGCCTCGAAAACTAGCAGTTCAGTTCAAGCAGAACCATCAATGGAGTCGATTAACCTACCTAATGTCAAAGTTACTAACCCTCACAAACTAATTTCTCCTATGGGATCGCAGTACCGCGGTTTAAGTTATAGATCACTTATTTCTGAAGATGCTATGTCGGGTAATGTGGAAAGTGATAAAGAAGAGTGGCAATATCTTAAGCCGACATCAGCAGTTAAGTGTACTCCTTCACTAATTAGTCTCACAAACAATTCCTTAAGCCAACAAATTGTTAAATTCACATTGACAAATTCTACGACTAAGTTTGTGTTCATTCGATTTAAATGCGTGCTAAATAATTCTAATTTTAGAAAAACCAAGATTTTGCCAGTTTGCCAAAAGAAACTTTGTCCTGGTTTACCTGAAGTGTATACTTTTATATTTGATCTTGCAACTCAAGAAGAATTTAAATCGACTTTATATTTTAAAGTTGGTTTCGATGTTCACGAAAATATTCCTGCAGAATCATTATGTGTGCCAATAATCAGTGAATTCACAAAGGATCCATGTGTATCAGTATCTGAAAATATAAATATACCACCCGTTTATCCTTGGCATATTAGGAGGAATGAGCAGTATTCATCGGAATATATTTATATAACCCTAAATGAGCCTATTCCTTATCACTTACATATTTATAAAAGAGTGGTGGATTTAAGTAAAGAGCCATCTGATACTTTACGAGCAGACGAAGTAAGCACCGAAATAGTTACACAAAAAGTAGAACATGAGGTACAAACAGAAGAGTTAAGCACTCTAACAGAAGAAAAGGATCTTAATACTAAAACCAAACCATCGCCAATGCGAATTGAAATTCAATCGGAAACAATATTTGGACAAGAATCAATTGCTTGCATTGTTAAAGATATTATTGAACTTGCTTTGGATACTTTTATACTCGAATCAACGTATTTGTATCTAAAATCGAATGAGACAGCAAAAATTCCGGTATATTTTACAAAGGTTGAGCGTACCGGTTATCATCAATGTTACTATGATCTTCAATTCATTAATACAAAATCAGAAGACGTTGCATTGACGAAAATCGTAAAAGTCTTCGCAGAAGTACTTCCACATCCGATCAAAGTGCATCCTCTTATATTAGACATGTCCAAATCGCCAGTCAATCATGGTTATTGTGAAGATATTTTTGTAGTTAGCAACACTCACAAACTGTACCCTGCTACTATTAAAATTAAATTAACAACGAAAATGAAAAAGATATTTTACGTAGAACCTATGGAAGCTACAGTGGCTGAATCATCATCTGTGCCATTTACTGTAAAGTTTTGTTCACGAGATTTTTTGTCAGTCAAACCTTGCGAAGATTTAGTCCATTTCACATTCAAAATAGTTATCCTTGGATATAAAGAGGTCTACGAAAATGTGCCACCATATTTCTATGAAGTAATAGCACCATGTGCACTAGAATTTAAAAAGATTTATAAAGAGAAATTCTTTAAAGAAAAAGATATCGAAAACTAGGTCCAGACTATGATTGCTTATTTTTATATTTAGGTATTTGATCTTTTGTATAGTGAATTATAAATCTTTTCAAATAATAAATATATTTTCCAAAAAAGAACACCATTTTTTGGAAAATATATTTATTATTTTTGTTTATTATTAGTATTATTTTTGTTTTTCACTTTTATATGTGTAGTAAGCACCACTTTGACTCTCTAATGGTTCTTTCCGGCTTAGAAAACTTGTTAAGAATCCCAGGAATACTGAGTAATGTTTGACAAGGATCAAACTTGCTAACGCGTCCGACTTGTTGTATGTAATACAGGTCAAGTGACTTGATTGCCTGAACCCGCATAATATCCCAGACCAGATCTACAGGTCGTGCAACCGGTTCAATATGACAATCGATTATAAATCAACGACAGCTTTGATAGAATCGATTGTGCTATAACACCTTTATTATGATTCGATACCACGGTACCTGCCATCCTGACAATCGTAAACTTTATGTTAAATCGCATTACCAAAAAAGTTTTTAACTTTATGTTAAAAACTTTTTTGTTTCAAAAAAGAAATGTTCTGTAGATTCCAATTTACCAGTTGTAGTATTTTTTGCAGCTCTAACGTATTTAATAATTCTTAGCACTGCATTTGAACTAAGGCTATCACCACTGTTTATCACATTTTCTAATCGATCACCATTTATTGATTTTGTATTGTTGTACTTACATTTGTTATTCACATCACGTGTGTCACCTCAGGACGATTGTATGCTTAAGTCCTACGCTCAATCGAATTCATTATGTATCGAATTGTCATCAAGAATTCGTTTAGCACTCACTCGGTACTTTCACATTAAAATTGGTTCCTAATCTGATACATGAATTCCGAAAATAACTACAAGTATTTCTACGTCTATGACATTGCTTACTTTGATCGTAAATAATTGCTTTTTACTTTGAAAGCAGATTTTGAATAATTAACCTCTTTATTGCTGTTTGATAGTCACACCTATTTAGGTAAATTATACTTTTTATTTTCGTCTCTCTTTTTGTAATTGATATCATTCATTATATCTACATAAAAACTTATGTTTACGTTTTATTTAAAAATGGCTTTTCTATAGTTGAATCAGGTTATAAAACTCAACGACTTAGCTAAATCATTTAATATCAAAACACCGCTATTGAGTTTGTACCATTCGTAATGACTTGATGGATGTGTGCAAGCTTACTGTTATGTTACGTTAGATTATATCATAATTGACTTAGGAATGGCAGCTATTTCTTAGATAAAGGAAATCATGTTTCTTTGTCTCCTTCATCTGATAGTCATCAACTAACAAGCAAACAAACTGAAACATAGTAACTCGGAATATTAGTGATGTGTGAATCTATACTAATACATAATAATTATTATTATAAAGCTGAAGAGTTTGTTTGTTTGCTCAAAAGCAATAATCTCAGGAACTATTGGTTCGAATTAAAAATTATTTTTAATAGACCATTGATTCAGGAAGGCTTTAGGCTATAAAACATCACGCTATGATCTGTAGGAGCCGAGCAGCGGGTGAAACCACGCGAGAGTAGCTAGTCTTTTTGGAAAATTCAAAACTAAAACGAGTACCTATCGTCTACAAAGAGGATTCTGATTTATAAGACTTGGCTCATGAGACTAGCAAGTACAAAAAAGAGCGTAATTCAAAAATGTTTTTTTGCAATGTTCGCTAATTTACATGAGCACTCTCACATACATGTAGTTGACATCAACAATCCTGATTAATTAGAACTAGCCAATTTAAATTCTAGCTGCTCATTGTGGTATTTTGTTCTAACACTTTTCACCTTCGTGTACCAACCTCAATGTTTACCTATTAATAAACCACACTGATGTTTTTCGTCATTCAGAATCTAGGCTAGGGGAACCATCTAGTTCGTCACTAGCAGTTCCAAGATGTACACGGCGTTAGAGCTTGTTGTGGTCCAAATCACCGCATTTCATCTCAAACAAATGTGTTATTGTTTTAACTCGTGGAACGTTTTATAGCACCGGCATGACTCTTATAACACACGGCTCGACCTTATTTAGAGCCGCTGTGGTTTGGCAGAACTACATATGAACTGATGCCCCACTTTAAATTGCTGATTCTATGGGAAAATTACTATACAATATTTATTCATGTAAAAGAGTTGCCGTTTTATGTTCTTTCGCATCTATATCTTCAGATACCTCATTAACTCACACTTCTCAGTTATCTCGAATTCCATCTAATTTATTGCCACTTTTTTCTTCGATTACGATAAATTCAAATTGTATAGTGAATCACTTGATGAGTTTCAGGTTAACAAACTTAATTCTGCATAGTCTATGTAGATGAAGTTGAATGAACTGTTATTATTTCTAGAAGCGCGCAGTCTTGGCACGCGTTCATTTTCAACAAATTATTTTACAAACTTATTAAAAAATGCAGTAAAAAATTCTAACTAGGTAACCGTTTGCACACCCAATTATAACTTATATTAAAAGGAATATAAATTATTCATACTTTTGGTAGCGCGTTAAATAAAGACACGCGTAAAGTTATAAATCAAATTCGTCCATTAACACAGTTATAAATCGTTAATATTCATTATTCGCAATGCGTGTGCTAAACACTTA